AGTATAGACAAATTTTGTATTTTATATGCTTCTATCATAATTCTATATGTTTTTATAGGATAAATTTTATATGTTTTTAATTAAGTTTATATGTTTTCCACAGATAAATGCTTTATAAAAAATTGTTTTAATATGATAAAAAAAAATTTATTAATATTAATCCATGGTATATAAATTTTATACGTTTTTCACATACAAACTGATGAGGCATTAATCTCTTTAATTGGTATTATGATAAATTCTACATGTTATTTGTAAATTTAATTTTAATAATGTTAACCGTGGAATAAATATTGCAAAACCTCTGTAATTCCATCGGATAATACATATATACGGGTGCTTGCTAATTTTTTCCTTAAAATTTAAAATTAATGAGAAAAATAGTCGGAAATTGAAATACCTTTTATTAAATATATATATATATATATATATATTATATTTAGTATGACACTTTTATTTGTGTGACTTACTTGTGTTATATTATAATAATTTTTTTAACTTACAACATATAACTACATTAAAACATAAAAATATCAACTGAGAAATAATTTTATTTTTCTAATAAATTTTAATAAATATTATTATTTTTTATTATTATAAAGATAAATATAACTTATTTATTTTATATATACAATATGAATGTCAAATCGAAGATCATGAAAATATGATTAATATGATATATTATATATGTAAAACCAATAAGAAATACAAAAATTATCAACTTTTAAAATACATTTATAATTCAATAGCTAATTGAAGGAAACAAATCAAAAGTCAGGGATATATTAGTCACGTAGTGTCTCACTATGTAAAATTACAAAAAATTAAAGGGTTATATTAGTACAAGTGATATTAAAATACTTAAATTAACTAAATAATATTTATGGAATGTCCGAACCTAGATTATTAATTATTAATATATTAATATTATTTGTCCAAACCTAATTACGAAGCATGATTTTTCGCCAAGTAGGATTCCGAAGCACCAGAAGCAGCCACGTATGCTCAGCGCATTCGAGAATTATATATAGGAGTGAAGTGATGATATATATATAATTGTTGGCAAGTTTTATTTAATTTTATTGAGCCTTCAATTAATAATAACATGAGTTCTTTTAATAAAAATAGGTTGCATTTAATAAAAAAATTTATTACCTCAATCCAAAAACCGTTACAACATATTTTTTTTTTCTCTTAATTTATTCCATACACTAATCCACCTATTTTTTACTATATTTTGAATTTGTAACTGTTACATGCGATTATCATTTTTCATTTCTCTATATTTGGAGAATGTAACTGTTGCATGATTACGAGATAATATTTAACCCCTTAAATTTGAATTGTTTAAAATATTTTTTTTTTTTAAATTTGTATGTTGACTATTTACATGCAAAAGGAGTATTAAATATTGATATGGTATAGAAAAAAAAAGAAGTATTAAGTATTGATATGCAAAAGAAGTATTAAGTATTGATATGCTAAAAAAAAAAAGAAAGTATTGATATGCTATAGATACAATGCAAAATATATAAAAAAAAAGTCATGTTTTGTAATAGAGATTTCTACACCAGCTCATTCAAATTCAAAATATTTCATGCAAGATTATGCACTATATTAGTTGAACGTAATGAAAAATAATTATCCATTTTATGTTATATAATAAATATAACGATGAGTTTGGATACTTTTATGTTGTTCATTTTTACTAACGACAGAATTTTTGAAATGTGATAGTAGTATTTAACTTATAATTTTACAATTATACACGTACACATAACTTATAAGTTATAATAATTTAAATTTCTGTGCATGTGTACAACACGATCAATTGTGCATATTATATTTTCAAAATAATTATTGGAGATCAACAGCAAATCTAGACCATCTAGTCATAGTTTACAAAAGCTAGATAAGGTCTCCAAACAGCCAATTACATCCCAAACCAATAAAGTCAACACTACGCTCAAACACCATAGAGTTCAATCAATTATTCCCATCCAACCCTCTCTCCCTTTATCTGGCAAAATCGACAATGGTGTTGACAAATTACCGTCTTGCCCTTGCCCTTTGCCTCCATTGCAGCAGCTGCTGCTAGCTACTCGAGTGATTATCGACTGATACGCGCCTTTCCCTTCACTACTCTCTCTCTCTCTCTCTCTCTCTCTCTCTCCATCACGTTAATGGCAGACTCCCACTCATCGCACTCTCAACACTCCCTTTCTGATTCTCAGGATCACGTGACCGACGCCGCCGGATCCGGCAACGGGGCCAGGTACCGTCTCATGTCTCCGGCCAAGCTCCCGATCTCGAGGTCCACTTGCATTTCTGTTCCTCCTGGCCTCAGCCCGACCTCCTTTCTCGACTCCCCTGTTCTTCTCTCTAACATCAAGGTCACTTTTCTGTTTCTGTTGGCTTGTAATTTTATTAGACTACTTCCGTTGTTATTGTCTGCTTTCTTTCTCTGTCTCACACACTCACAAACACACGCACACGCACTCCTCTCTTCCAAAATTTCTTGCGGTTTAGAGTGAATTTTTGCAACTAGTACTATTAGCGTCAGTTGCTGGGCTGAGATTGGAATTCGGATCCGACTTTGTTGAGGCACCAAATAAAAGTAAGAGGGCCTTAAAGATTGGTGAGAAATAAATGCTATCTGCTAGTACAAGTTACCAGTCTCCAAGAATTCTTCTGCGCGGTGACCAGCTTTGGGGTTAGGGTTCCGGAGAATATGAATGTTCAGTTGAGTGAGCAACACATCTGTATGCTGACGTCAGCGTAATTTGTTGTGCTGGGAATCTATGGTCATGATGGAGCGCACTTCATTATATATGCGGTTCTTTTTTTTTCATTATATTGCTGTTAGGTAAGTTTGCTTTCTCACTGGGTGCCGCATTCAGGGAATATCATAGTAAGAGTAATATATGTGTAGTGTAGCTTTGTGATTTGTTTTCGGGCCCCTGTAATTTGATGCTCTATTAAGGTCTTACTATATTGGTTTCGAGGTTGAATTGCTTTAGGCACTTGCTATAAAAGTTTTGTTGATTTTGCTGTATGAACCTTGTGATTTAACGCGACTTAATTAGGAATATAGGGAATGGAGAGAAACCTCGAGGGAAAAAGAACCTGAAACAATTCTACATTACCATCAAATGGGAATGTAGCACCATGCGGATACAGGATTTTTTGTTCTTTTTGAAGGAGTATTTAGACTCTAGGCATTAATATATCAAGTGCTGGAAGTAGTTTCGTTACAAAAAGGAATCTTGTTTATACTTGTTGGTGACTATAGTAATTTGCTTTCGTGTCATTTGCTGGGGAAAAGTTGCTCAAACTTAAGTGTTTAAAAGTTACGCATTACGATTATCAGAATTGAGTATGACATTTATCATTGTAATGCATATAAATGCCATTCCTTGCTGTATAAACTTTGAAAATAAGAAACCTTTGAGGTTTCACAGCTGTTTATTTTTTCTTCTCTATAAGAAAATGTAAGTAACTGTTTTCCAATGGAAGCTACAGGCAATCCAGTTGGTGTACAACATCAAGTTATTTTATGTTGGTCAGGAAAACTTATTTAGTTCCTTTAATTTCGTTTTTAAACTCTATCACTCTTTTGCAGGCGGAACCTTCTCCAACCACCGGTTCCTTTTTCAAGCGTCAATGGATGCATGGCTCTGGTGAAAATGCTGCACTTCTGATACAGAAAAATGTTTCAAGTGCAAATTGTGTTGATGAAAGAATGTCCAGCAGTTTTGAGTTTAGGTTTCAAACTGGGGCTAGTTCTACATCAGGATTATCGTCGGCTGGGCTGTCGGTAATGCACTAAAAGTTTTAAATTAGTTTCAAGATCATTCTTCACCTTTTGTCCAGTTTTATTTATTTAAGATGGATGGCTACAAGAAAATAGGATTTTAATTTAGAATTGAGATAACAGCCTAGCTTAACTTCAACAAATAGTAAAATTGGGCTGATTAAGTTTAAATATTCCTACTACATTGTCGGTACATAAAACAATATTATTCTTTTGTATTTTTTTATACTCATTCTTTAGTTTTTGAAGGTTTTCTAATCGACTTATTGGTGGAGTATAGGGTATTTCAGTATTGTAGATGTTCGGTTTCTAGTTTGCTTATTTTGCACTTTATTTCAAACTCTGTTTGTTGCCTCAGCCAAACCAACTTATATTATTTTATTTTTACTTTCCCACTGTCTTGTCAAAAGGTCTTCGATGAGTTATTGGTGTGATGTGGTTGGTCTAAAGATGAAATGTGTAATTGATAGACCCAAGAAATCTATTATATAGTTGTTTTGACAAAATTTTTCTTGGAAATTTTTCGATGCAATTTTCTCTAATTGCCACATGCAATGTCTAATTTGGTCTTCTGCGAATACTTGGGCTGTGCGTGTGTGCTAATATCTATTTTCTTTGTGGAAAAGATTCCTGTAGGATCAAATCGAAACGGGCCAGTGAATCATCGAGATCTACGCTATTCACAAGCTTCTGCACCATCAACTTTGGCTTCAACTGTTGTGGCAGTAAGTTTACAGGAAACATCTGCTGTTGGTAGTGTTACTGATGAATTAAATCAAGGACATTCCAGCACGGGTATTCTAGGATCATCCTCCGACCATAAAGATGGTGTCTTGGTCTCAGCTGAGAGAACATCAGATGATGGTTATAACTGGAGGAAGTACGGGCAGAAATTGGTTAAAGGAAGTGAATTTCCTCGAAGTTATTACAAATGTACATATCCTAACTGTGAGGTTAAAAAGATTTTTGAGCGTTCTCCAAGTGGACAGATCACAGAAATTGTTTACAAGGGTTCGCATGATCATCCAAAACCTCAAGCTTCAAGGAGGAACAATCCTGGGGCTCTTTTGCCCATTAAAGAGGATAAAATGGAGAAAGATTCGTCAATAACTGATCAAGAGGGTACTTGGCCTAGCTTCCTATTATATTTTCTTGAACATTAAAACTGTTGTGTGAAGCTTGGCTCTACTATGCATGCTTATGGGTGAACGCTTGTACATAAGCTTGATTATGCAACCCAAACTTCATCATATCCATTAACACGATTTTTTAAATAATTTTTTGTTATGACTCAAATAAACTTAAATAAGGTTTATCCAGGAAATAAATTACTTCTGCTCCTGATATTTACCCACTCTCCCTCTTTGAGATGACAACAGGTGAAGTTTGCCCAACTGTTCTCTTACTTAAGCTTGCTGTCCCAAATCCAAATTATTGTCTGTGGTTTCCAATATCTTTCCTCTGACTTAATACTGATTTTTATTTCAATTTGATGAACATGAAAATGACAACATTTGTTTTTGTTTTGCAATAAATAACAGGTTCAACAGGTTTCTTTTGTAGATTCAATGAAAAATTAAATGTTTTTAGTTTTATGTTTCGAGATTAAAATAATGCTGTTGCTCTTTTGGTATATAAATGACTTAATTTGTTGAAGTTCATATTATTATCCGTAACAATAAAATCTGAAATTACTTATGCATGTTATGCCCTTATAGTAAGGATGATTTCTATCTCCCGTGAAGTTGCTTGAAGCTCATTGCCTCTGCAAACTCAGATCTTTGTTACAATACCTCTTTGAACCTGCATGTGTGCAGGCACCCTAATATATTTTTTTCTTATTCTTTTGTTCAAGGCAAGTTGAATTTTAACAATATGGAGCAAAATGGCTCTCCCATGTTTTCTCCTCTACAAGCAAACGAGGAGGGAAATGATTGTTCTGATTCACTATTTCAAGATATTAATGAGGATGTTGAAGCAGATGATCCTTTTCTGAAGCGGAGGTATGTGTTTTCATAACATTATCAAAACATGTTATGTCTTTCTTATAATATGTTTCCTCAACTATTTGAGCCAGGAAAATGGAGGATAGTCTTGATGTTACACCACTTGTTAAGCCGATTCGCGAACCACGAGTTGTTGTTCAAACTGTCAGCGAGGTTGATATACTAGATGATGGATATCGATGGCGCAAGTACGGCCAGAAAGTTGTAAGGGGCAATCCAAATCCTAGGTATGTATTGTGTTCAAGCTTCAGCAAACTGTGAAAGATTGAAATGAAAAAACTTCAGCCTCAGGTTTGAGCAAGGAGATATGATAAAATGTTGACTCTAAACAAGGAAACACTTACGCAAGCACTGCCAGAGTTGAGCAGCTAGAAAAATTACTTGAATTGCTTGGGAAAGTTTGATTTATGATTACTCATATTACTTATGTGAGCTGCAACAGAAATGCAGTCCATGACCATCCATTAGGTAGTGCAGTGACTGATGATGTTAGTAGTTGCTTATGCTATGCTCCTGTGGTTAACTTAACATGTAACCTTATCGGGAAGAGATTGAATTTTTATTAGTTTGAACTCAAAGTGCCACGTGAAATGCTGCTCAATTTTGCTGATGAAATAAATAAGTACTTGAGTTGACTTGATGCTTGCTAACACGCCGGTTCAGCTCGAATGTGGCGAGTTGACTTGATGCTCGGTAACACCCTGACTCAGCTCGAATGTGGCTTGATTTTCAACAGTTAAAGCATGGAAATAGTATAGAATTGTGATATTTAGGTGATATCCATAATATCTGCTCGTCAAATGCTTGAACCTACAAAAGAGGGTCTTGTGCTCAACTTGTTTTGGGTTCAAGTTAACTTGAGCAGTCGCGACCCGCTCGAGTTGTATGTGCAGCCTTACTAAGCAGGACTTTACAATATATGATTACATGTTTTCCCAGGAACCTAATGGTGGTGATTTCCGTTAGTGTGAAAGTCAGATCTTTAATATCTCAGCACTATTTCATCTACTTTCATGTACATTTATGTCTTTATTTCCTAGAAATATTTGGCTATCCTGTTAAAATCTGGCTTATTATTGGTCTGATTTGGACACTCTGCTCCTGGAAACCCGGGCAGCCAATGCATATATGATGCCTGGATGGTTCCATATATGCAAATTCTTGGGCTTATACTTATAGTTTTCGCATCCATATCACATTTTTCCTTTCTGTGAAATATTGTATTATTCTAAGAAAAGCATAATTCATACCCACAATATAGTCCAGTCATATGTATCTTTTTATAGATTTTATTACATCAATGATATTTATTTAAATATATATCAAGCACCTTGGGTCGCTATGGAAATAGCCTCCTTGTATAATTACAAGGGTAAGGTCTGCGTATAACTGACCCCCCAGACCCCAACCTGTTTGGGAATATACTGGGTATGTTGATGTTGATGTGTATATATCAAGTACCTGATATGAATATACTCTTAATAATTATGTTAATATAAAACTTTTTAAC